GGGAATGGACTTGCAGCAGAGTTTTTCAGTTTGAACTCTGCTGTCTGTGAGCTCTTCATATGTATGGAATCTATCATGGGTCTTATCAGCTATAAAGTTGAACATTTCTGGATACTTCTGTGTTTTTTACAAGCACTCGCCATGATTGGCCGTCCTCTGTTTCAGTGTGATCTGTGTTGAGCGTTACCTGGCAGTGGTTCATCCTGTAACCTTTCTGAAGTTCAGACCTCTCAGATATAGAGTGATCTGTTCTGTTATTGTTTGGGTGGCAGGATTTGGCTCTGGTGGGTTCAGTATTATGACTTGGTCCTTGTTTCTCTATGAGTTGTATTTTATTGTTTTCCTTGCACAGTTCTTTATCTTCCTCTCCATCCAGATGTTCTGCTGTTTAGCTGTTCTCAGAGCCCTGAAGCAGCCAGGACCAGGAGAGAGAGGAAGAGAGAGAGAGGGAGAAAACCCTATGAAGAGAAGAGCATGTTATCTCATTCTAATAAATGCTGTGACCATGCTTTTCATATATATTCCCTTTGTCATTGTAATATATGTTACATGGAGTTCAAAAGAAACTCCTGAGAAACTCCTTGTTTTTGGTTATATTTGTTTTACTTTAGCTGGTTTGGTGCAGCCTCTTCTCTTTCTGTACCGGGTTGGGAAACTACCCTTCATGAATGAATTCTTCTTCATTTATAATTCTGACATTTCTATTATTCATTTTCTGCCATACAACTACAATAAATATTAAAATAAATAGCTGATCTGGAATGCCTTTTGTGACTGTATTTTTGCCAGTTTTTAAATGTTCACTTATTTACATATGTGTAGAGATTAATTAATTGAAGACTTTTTTTTATTAATCTGCTATCTCATGATAACGCTATTACATAACAAAGCTGGTCTTTTGTAGCAAATGTAATGGCACAGTTCTTCGCATGACAAGGTAGGAAGACACTGCATTGTTGCAACATCGGTCCCCTCAGAGAGAGTCTTCTCAAAAACTGGACAAATAATCACAGAGAGGAAATCGCATCAGCACACCCAGGTCCCAAGCTGAGGCATCTGATATTTCTGAATGCCAACCTGCACTAAAGACTAAAGTGTCTTAATGTTAAGACTTTTGCCTTTATTTATTTGTTTGCTGTGGTTCTGTGTTCAATTGTTCAATTAAAGTTTTATTAAAATGATAAATATTAGTATATAGTAGTAGTGTTTTTTTTTTTGTAACAAAACAAAATGCTTAAAAATAAGGCTTTTATGAAAACTGAATAAAAAAATTGCTAACCAACACACAAACCATTCACAATTGCTAAATTGGGCTAAAATAGAAGGCTCAGAGTGATACTAAATGAAGAGCCATTTGGGAGTCGTAAGAGCCGGCTCTTCTAAGGGAGCCGAGCCAAAAGAGCCGAATCTTTGAAAAGAGCCGAACTTCCCATCACTACTTGTGATAGACGAGTGTGTTTTTTCAGTATTTTGAATGAGTTCATTTGTAAATAAATAATTATTAAAAGTAGGTAAACCACTTGCCACGTTAAAGTCCAAGGATGACGATGATGATAAAAATAAAACAAGGTTTATTCAAAGAACTCAAAATAGAAAGCCACATGCGAGACAGCATGTAACACGAACAATACCAGACCAATGAAAGGTGAGAACAGCAACTTAAATACACGGCAAATGAGGGTAATAATGGAAAACACCTGTGCTGATTAAATGAATATCCATGACAACTAAAGAGTGGTGGGGAAAACTAGTGAAAACAAACATCTCAGGTTACTTATGTAACCATGGTTCCCTGAGTAGGGAACGAAACACTGCGTCCTCTAGGGGTTGCTATGGGGAACGCCTCGTCGTGACCCGTGTCTGAAGCATACATTCAAAAACACCAACAACACGTTGGCCGGTGACAGCCCGTGACGTCACTACCAGTGCAACTATAGTATAAATAGGCGCCGGGAGAACACGTCATCCACTTCTTTGTCTGAAGCTTGCGTCTGAAGCATAGCAGGAAACCTAGAGGACGCAGTGTCTCATTCCCTACTCAGGGAACCATGGTTACATAAGTAACCTGAGACATTCCCTTTCAAGGGAACTTCGAACTGCATCCTCTAGGGGTCGCTATGGGGAACGGTATACCCACACATTGAAAAAACACCAACTCGTTGGCCGGCGACAGCCATGACGTCACTACCAGTGCAACTATAGTATAAATAGGCGCCGGGAGAACACGTCATCCACTTCTTTGTCTGAAGCTTGCGTCTGAAGCATAGCAGGAAACCTAGAGGACGCAGTGTCTCATTCCCTACTCAGGGAACCATGGTTACATAAGTAACCTGAGACATTCCGGCCAGACTCCTGGGCCCGGGGTAGAGCTCAAGGCTTGGAATCAGGAATAGATTCCTTTAAGGGAATACCACCAAGAGCCTAGAATCATACTAAGTCTTGGCCTGTCACACAGGGGCTACCGCTCAACAGACCCCTAGTAGCAACACCCTGTTAAAAGTAGATATCCGGAGGATACATAGGGTGAGTGGTGCCCAAGGTGGAACCAGGGCTTAACCAGCTCAAGAAAGGGCACGACGCTGCTGG